GATAAACAAAATTAAATGACAGTTAAAGGGTATCTGTGTCATTTTCAAATGCCACTTGATAGTTGGTTAACAGCTAGTTAACGATAGGTACTAGATCGTCACGTTTCGAAAGTTCGGGTAAACCAAAGTGGCACTAGGCCCAAAGTATAAGGTACTAATTGGGAATTTTCCCTTTATTAAAACATCCACTATACAATTTTATGAATTTACTAAGGGGCCGTTTTGCAAGTCTGTTTGGGAAGATCTTCAGGTAGCTCTAACAATCTAAAGATGCATTGAGCTTTGTATTAAGATCTGAGCAGCTTGAAGCTTGTTTGATTAAGATGCGTCTTTCTGTGTGAAGATGAATAGAGAAAAACATAAAAGCTTTTCCTAAAAATTGCCCGATTTGGGCTTCTTGTTTCTTTCCGATGTATCGACTTTTGGCGGCTAGATCTACCGCAAACCAAACAGAAAAAGACTGAATCGTGGTTTCTTTCCGATGTATCGACTTTTGGCCGATAGATCGCACGAAAAGATGTGCCAAACTGGACCTAAATCTATCGTTTAGGTTGTGTTTGGTTGCAGTGCAATTTTATTTGCACTAGTAAGAATGCATGGAAGTGCAAATAAAAAGAAAATGCAAATTCTCATTTATTTTGTTTTGGATTTATTTTATTCTGCTTCATGTCTTAATTTACTTAATTTACACCGCAATCAAACAAAATAAGTTAAAATTTAAAACAAAAATAAGTCAGAATTTACACTTGAATCATTTGCACTATCATAGTTTTGCATCAATACAAATTTATTTGCATTGCAACTAAATACAGCCTTAGTAAAATCTATCATATTAATGGGAAATGACAATTTTAACCTTAATATATATTTTAATAAATTTAATAAAAAAGATAAAAAGGAAAATACAATTTTTACGCACAACAACCATTTGATTGGGCTAGATGAACTGATGAAGTAATGGATGGGCCCAGTGAATCAGAAACCAATGATCGAGATCGAGTTGTTAGTAGGCCAGATCTTGTATATGGCCCGTTGGCGAAGGATGGTAAAACCCGAATCCAATTAACTTGGGTTGAAGCATTTAAACCTTGACCCGACCTTCTGCCTTTATCAATGAGTTTTTTTTTTTTTTTTTATAGATTCTTCCGCTTCATAATTTTTTGGTTAAGTTTTTAAACTACTACTGGAAATGCCTGTGCGATGCACGAGGTATTTGATATTGATGGTGATGTTTGACTATGCTTTTACATGTTGGGCATAGGTGAAAATTCATATACCGTTGAAGTCCTAAGACAATTATATAATACATAAAAGAATACTATCCTCGCAAAATGCCAAGATCTGAGTTTTATAATTATAAAATGTTGGTTGCAAATGCATTAAATTGAAACATTAATGTATCAAATCAATGATAAAATTACATTCAATGGCATTATATACAGATACTGTTCATCCCAATGAAACACAAAATTTATGAAGAACTGGAGATGCTACTCTTAACCGATCTCTTGTTTTGTGATAACCTAAAACTTATGAAAATAATTACTAGTAATGATTAGAAGTAAACTAAGCTATTATGTTAATTTACTCAATTAACTACTGAATAGCGGAAGTCATTATCTAAGATGACTATTAAAAACTTACATTTAAGCCTGATTTTTTTTTTCATACTTGTTAACTAAGAGCAAATAAAGAAATTAGTTGGAAGCAAAAGTTATCAACCAACCACTAGAACAACATGTATGCAAACACCTTCTAGGCACGTTGAGCACCTCCGCACATTTGTACAAGAATAAAACAATCGAACGATTCATAATGTATCACAATGTTGCATATGAGTTAGGACATGAGTTGCAGGCCCTACTTAACAATTGCACGCATGATAACATACAGTCCCAATAGCCAAATGCCCTTATAAAGCAGGGGCCCAACTAACAAACATGTGTAGGGCCCATGGAATGAAATTTCTGTTTTTTTTTGTGTAATTTTTGTTATGCTTTTTCATTTTTTATATTTTCTATAAATTCTTGTTTTATTTTACAAATTTTATTCATTTTTCTGTAATTTAGTGTTTGTTGTAATTTTGTTATTTTTCATCAATTTTTATGGTTTTCTACATTTTTTGTAAATTTTCTATGTATTTCTTTGTTTTTTGTAATTGATATTATTTTCTTCATGTTCTATATTTTTCATAATTATTTTGAAATTTTTATTTTTTATTTAATTTATGTTATTTTCTACACTTTCTATCTTTATTTGTATATTATGTATTTTTTATAGTTATATTTTTCGAGAATTTATTTATTATGTGAAAAATTAATGGGTTAGGTGCCCCCCAATGGCTTTTTAGAAAAGACGATATTTTTTTTTTTGCCAACAACTATCATGCACCCTCATATAGAATTGGGATATGTTGGAAAAACCAAAAAACTAAGGGGTAGAATTGGAATGAGAAATCAGGGTCTTTTGACCACACTAACTGAATCATTCTCAATTTTTATATATGGTAATAGATATAAATTCTTATTTTATTCTATGATTTTTGCTAATTTTTTTTTGTAATTTATGGGTTTTTCTTCAATCTATAGAATTTTCTATATATATATATTTATAAACTTTCAATATGTTTCTTTGTTTTTTTTTTGTAATTTATATTATTTTCTTCATTTTTTTGTGTTTTTTCACAATTATTTTGCAATGACAATATATACAATCGGAAAAAAATGGAAAGTTTAGGGTAAAGTTAGAAAGTAATATAAGCATATTTTGAGCAAACCAATTGCAACATCCTCATTTTTTAGTATGGTATATAGAAATTTCTATATTTTTTTTGTAAATTCTCTATGTATTTCTTTATTCTTTTGCAATTTATATTATTTTTTTTTCATTTTATGTTTTTCATAATTATTTTGCAATGACAATATATACAATGGGAAAAAAATAGAAAGTTGAGGGTAAAGTTGGAAAGTAAATCAGGGTGTTTTGACCAAACCAATTGTAACAAGGTCACCACCGGAGAGTGTATGTAGCCATTTATGATAAGATCAAATACCTGAGCAATCAAAATAGAATATTGGAAAAACAAAAATTATTGAGGATAAGGATGGAAAGTAAAATCAAGATACAACCATCTTAATAAATTGCATTCTCTTTTTTTTTTATTGTTGGAAAAAGTTTGATGGACAACCTCATGAATCATGATAGTTAAATTAAATATTGGGAAAACAAAAATTATAAAGAGTAAAGAGGGAAACTAAAATCAGGCTTTTTGACAAAAAGTTGTTACCAACTTACCATCATTTTTATACATGGTAATACTGTAAAAACAAAAATTTTAAAGGGTAAAAAGGGAAACTAAAATCAGGCTTTTTGACTAAAAACTGTTACCATCTCATTTTTATAAATGGTACAGATTTCTAAACAACTGTATCTTTACTGTATAACTATTATCTTAAATCACATTTACTGTTTTTGACAATTGACAGTTTTACTCCTATCAAATACTGTACATATATAATATCATGTGATGTATAATTTTTTTTAAACCCAATACAACCCTTCATCCCATTTCTATAAGCTAGGTAAGAATCACCGCTTGCGAGCGGGACTGTTACGTTGATTTTTAGATTCGATGTTTCCATGAACTTGTTAGGGTTAGGGTTTGAAAGTAGCCGAGAAGCAATTTCCACCTCCTCGCGGGTGTCGTCATCGTCATCGTCATGATTTCAAGGATTGTGATACTAATTCTTGCTTCTGCGGATTTCCCCTCTCCCTTCTATTCACCAATTGTGATCTAGGAGAAACCAGACAAGGCCGATGGGGTGGTGATGATGGTGGTAAAGGGGACTCTTACAATTCCCTGCCTACTTCATCATTCACTCTTCTATCGAGTTCACATCTCTGTTCCACAACGTCCCACAACACATCCCCGCTGTGTATTGAGAACATCTCCCGATAATAATACTAGAACTGATGATGTCATCATCATTCATCAAGAGATATTTCCAATACACGGCAGGGATGTGATGAATCCCACATCTCTTTCGAATCGTCTCAGTGTGTTGAAAAGAAAGGGAATAATGAACACTAGAATTTTCAAATTAGGTTAAGGAGATGTTTGGTTTTATTGGTATTTATTAAAAAAAGGATATTACATCATTGCCACATAAACATTAGTGTTTATTATAAATGAAGCAAAATGAAATAATTATTTGATTTCATCATTTATCAAATGAATAATAAAAAAATAAAACACTTTACTTTTTATGCATAGGGTATTTTGGAAAATATTAAATTATTGTTTCTTCGGACACCCCGATGTTTAATAATTTAAGAAGTTTGCCCTAAACTCTTATAAAGTGAAAATGAATCCCACATTCGAGATGATTGAGAGTTGAGACGACCCGATACTTTTTTAATTTTTTTATTATAATGGAGAATTACAAGATGACCCGAGAGCCAAGAGAGAAAGAACAGGTCCAAATTTCTAGAAGACAAAGGCACGTTTTTTTATTCAATCTTCTCTTTTTGGGAAAAGTCATAATTGTTTTTCTAAAACAAATTTTTTCTTTTAAAAAATTAGGAAAAGAAAACATCTAGAAGACGATGTAAATGTAACCGCAATAGTCGGGCGGCGGGTGGGCGGGTGTGGTGGGTCCAGAAGAAGAACCCGGCAACGAAAAAGTTGATGCCGTTTGAGGGTTGTGACTCCTCAATAGAGTCAATTGTCGTCATTCACCCAGAGCCAAACACGACCAGGAAGCACAGAACAGCAAGGAATCCGATTACCGAGTAAATAAATCAAATGTGTATTGATCAAGCTCCTCAGTCCACACCACTTGTCTCTCCCTCTCCCTCTCCCTCTCCCTCTCCCTATATATATATATCCCTCAATAACTACCCACCCACACTGATGACAGACCACTCTACCTGGCTCTACCTGTTCCACAGATGAATAAGGATTAAGGAATTCATCATTCCTGTGCTTTTCCTTCTCGGGGATGGAGTGGAGGCAAGCTGTTGATGCGTCTGCTTTCTTCCTTGTTGAGGCAACAGGGGATTCTGACTCTACCCACTGCGATCCCCTCTTCGCCGCCGGCCTTGAAGTGTTGTCGCCTCCCGACGACGATGCCGAGTCATGCACTTTGGATTCATGCAACGGTACAGGTACTGACTGTGTCGATAATACTGTTTGCGTGGATGAGTTGAATGATTTTGGGGGCGAAGAATCCAAGGATGGTAACGGGGATGATGATGTTGATGAGTATGAGGATGATGGGTTCGGGTTGTCTGATAAAATTGCATCAGAAGCGGAGTCCCGTATGAAAGACAAGGATGCAAAGGTGGGTGTTGATGCAGATGGGGAGCTAATGAACGAGATGGAGAAGAACAGGCTTTTCTGGGAGACTTGCTTGGCTACTTGAGCTACATCTGGGTCATGGCTTGATGAGATTGATTTGTTAATTACCCTCCAACCCCAATTGATTTCTCGGAAAAATTTGACCTTCTCCCCCCTTTTTTCTTCTTCTGGCTAATCCTTTGTTTAAAGATTTCAATTGTACATTTAAATGCAAATTATATGTTTATATATATATATATATATATATATAAATATATATATTCTTCTGGTAGAAACTGTAGTGTGACCTGACTACGGAGAGAAAGAGAGAGATCTGTAATCCAAGGGAGCTTCCTTTTATAATTATATATATATATATATATCTGGTAGTTTTAAAGGTTTAAATGAATAAAGGAACGATTCCTTGCAGACTTTGAAATGAAAAGGAGATTGAAAGAACGAAAAAAGGGGAGAGATCCTTGAATGTTTAAACAATAAGAAAGTGAAAAGTTCCCTCTTACCTTTCTAAATGACACAATAAGAAAAGGAAGAAAGTGGGAAAGATTCCCAGCATCTTTGTTTGGATTTGGATGAGAGAAACGCACTGGATGGGTCGTTAGCATCTCTTCGCTGGCTTGGCTCTAGCACCTAATCCTCCTACCTATGATTCCTTCTCAAGCAAAACCTATATTAGAATATCAATTTATTTGCCACATCATCGTGAAAGCATTTTGGCAAACACTTGGAGCTCATTCTTTGAATTCCGTAGAAAAGGGGAAAGATCCCATCTATGACCAAACGGCGGTCTGTAATAGAAGTTCTTCACGAGAATTCAAGATCTTGAATCGGATTCAAAATTCAAACTTTGCTACAGGGAAGTTGAATTTCTGAATCTGCTATGAAAATGAAAACAGAGAAAAACTGCATTTGTCAGCATTGATTTGACGATGGGTTCTAGAAAACTTGTACCAACACTCGCCAGTTGGCTTCTTTGATCTCGGCTTCTTGTAACTTTTTGCTTCGGCATTATATAAATTTTTCTTCAAATCCTCATCTACCTTCTCGCAGTAGGCTTCAATAGCGTCAAGTCCATGTCGGTGGGTATGGCTTCAATACTGTCTAATCCATGCTTCAACAGCGTCTAGGTGTTTGAAACCAGAATCTACCCCATCAAGATCGGTCCCTTCCTTTTCCTATCTTTTTTGCTTTCTTAAGAAACACATGTCCGGTTAAATGAATTTAAATAACTTATCGAAAAACAAGGCCTTAGTATCTTTAGAATTCAGTCACCATGAAGCCCAATATAGTGGCAAATAAACACATGGATTGTGGTCAATCGAGTTATTAGCGTCTCGTTGGTTATTTGCCACATATGATGTCACGTGCACATTGAAACATTTCAATATCCCAAATTACCCTTCATATATTTATTAGACGGTCATGTCCTCTTCTTTATTTAGTGTCAAGGTTGTGTTTGGTTGCAGTGCAAATAAATTTGCATTGATACAAAATTATAATAGTGCAAATGATTTAGGTGCAAATTTTCCCTTATTTTATTTGATTGCAGTGCAAATGAACTAATATAAGACCTAAAGCATAATAAAGTAAAACCCAAAACAAATTAAACTAAAATTTGCATTTTTTTTTCATTTGCACCCACATACATTTGTATTAGGGCAAATAAAATTGCATCGTAATTAGAAATAAAACAAATAACAAAAAACATAGCAAGTAACAATAGTAGACACTGAGATTTACATGGAAAATCCCTCAATGTGAGGATAAAAAATATGAGACCGAAGTCCAAATCATCCACTATTAACAATAGTAAAGAGATACAATGTTTTTCTATCTAGTTACAAATAGATGATGAGCATCAAGAAAGCTCTTGGATTCCAATAACAAAAAAATCATTCAAATGGATAATAAACAAGAAATCTCTCACCAAAGGTGGAAACACAATAATGGAAGCAAGAGGAGATGCTGAAAACGGATTTGTCTTCTTTGTTTTAGCCATTGTAAATCTTCTTCTTCTCTAAATCCCTTTTCTGTTCTTTGATATTTTTTAGAGAGTTGTTTTTTGTAGTTTAGAGAGTAGAGTGTAAGATCTCTCCAATTTGTTGGTTAGCCAAGGACGTGTTGGCTTGCAAGGCAAGCCAATGCAAAAAAATTTCTTGATTTTCCATTCTTTTTCTTTTTGTCTTTTCCTTCTTTTCTTTTCTTGTCTTTATTAGTGTGTCCCACCTCATAAGGAGAGAACCCCAACAATTTCCCTCTCCCAACTTATGAGGAGGGTTGCACCATGCTCAAATCTGCAATGCTTCTACAATATTGAAACTTTTCTTTTAGTAAGTCCTTGGTCATCATGTCTGATCCATTCTTGTCAGTGTGAATTTTCTCAAGTTGTACTTCCTTTTCTTCAAGAACATTCCAAATCCAGTGATACCTCACATCAATATGTTTGGACTTAGAATGAGAGCTTGGATTATTACACAGGTGAACGACACTTTGACTATCACAATGAAGTGTAAATCTTTCATGCTTCAAACCAAGTTTATTTAAGAACCTCTTCATCCACAATATCTCCTTGCAAGCCTTTGTGATAGCTATGTATTCAGCCTCTGTAGTTGACAAGGCTACACATTTTTGTAACTTGGACTGCCATGACACTGCTCCCCCAACAAAAGTAAATAAAAAACCTGATGTAGACTTTCTAGAATTAATGTCACCTGCCATATCAACATCTATAAACCCTTTAAGCATAAGTTTATCACCACCAAAACACATACTTTGGATGTGCCTTTTAGATACTTGAGGATCCACTTCACTACAAGCCAATGCTCTTTGCTTTGATTGGCAAAAAATCTACTAACCACACCAACTGCATGTGCTATGTCTGACCTATTACAAACCATAGCATACATGAGACTTCCTATGGCAGAGACACAGGGAATGTTCCTCATTTCTCTTATTTCTTTATCATTCTTTGGGCTTTGATCACCAGACAATTTGAAATGATTTGCCAATGAAGTACAAACCGGTTTTGCTTTATCCATGCAAAATCTCTCAAGCACCTTTTCTATGTAGTTTTTTTGTGACAACCACAGTCTCTTGGATTTCCTATCAAGTGAGATTTTCATACCCAAGATTTATTGTGCTGGACCTAAGTCCTTCATGGAGAAAGACTTGCTTAACTATTTCTTCAACCTGTCAAATTTTGTCTTATCTTTCCCAACAATCAACATATAGCAAAAGAATGATAAAATTATCAATAGAAAAATACTTAGTGAAAACACAATGATCTAAAGTTGTTCTACCATACCCATGCTCTATCATGAATGATTGAAACTTTCGGTACCATTGCTTTGGAGCTTGTTTCAAACTATACAAACTCTTCCTTAGCTTGCAAACTATATGTTCTTTTCCTTTGACTTCAAATCCTTCCGGTTGTTCTATGTAGATGTCTTTTTCCAAGTCACCATGGAGAAAAGCCGTTTTGATATCTAACTATTTAACCTCCAAATCCATACTTGCGATCAAGCCCAATGCAATACGTATTGATGACATTTTTACCATCGGAGAGAAAATTTCATCAAAATTGATGCCATTTTTCTATTCAAATCCTTTCACAACCAATCTTGTCTTGTACCTTGATTGCGAGCACCTATTTTCATGCTTCAACCTGTATACCCATTTGTTCTTAAGTGCCTTTTTACCCTTGGGTAGTTCTACCAAATCATAGGTATGATTCTTATTCAAAGAGTCCATATCCTCTTGCATAGCCTTGAACCATTCTTTCTTGTGCTCACTTTCTTGAGCCTCATGATAGCTTTCGGGTTCACCTGCATTTGAAAGCATTATGTATTCATTTGGTGGATATTTTCTCGATGGTTGAAGTTCCCTAGTTGATCTTCTTAATTCAGTTGGTGGCTCTTGAGGGGGCTGCTCCCCCTGTTCATCATCACCGTCGACATCTTTATTGGGAACATTCTCATTATTTTCTGAGTTTACATTTTCTTGTTGCACATCTCCCTTATAATTTCTGTGTACCATGAGAGGAGACACTAGATCCAAGTCTATAAGTTCACCATCATCTTCTTGAGGCTTCTCAATTTTTTCAGTCTTCGATTGTTTGGTTTTCAAAAAAACCATATCTCTACTTCTGATGATTTTCTTTCCCACTAGATCCCATAACCTATAACCAAACCTTTCATCTACATATCCCAAGAAAACACACTGCTTGATTTTGTCATCAAGCTTAGACCACTCATCCTTGGGTATATGCACAAAGAACCTGCAACAAAATACCTTGAGATGATCATAGAAAATATCTTTTTCTATCCATACCCTTTTAGCAATATCACTATTCAAAGGAACTGTATGAGATAAATTAATCAAGTACACAACTATACGTATTGCTTCTCCCCAATAACATCTTGGCAACTTTGTTTCTAAAAACATGCATCTAACTCTTTCTAAAATGGTGCGGTTCATTCTCTCAGCTATATCATTTTGCTATGGGGTCTTAGGGACTGATTGCTCATGTCGAATGCCATGGTTTTTATAATAATTCTGAAATAGACCTTCATACTCATCACCATTGTCAGTACAAATACACTTGAGAGGTCTACCTATCTCTCTTTCAACCATAGCATGAAAAAACTTTAGATTTCAAAGCATAAGCCTATACTTTTCTACTAGCATCATCTATGAAGGTAACAAAGTAAGATGCAACACCAAGAGTTTTGACTTTCATAGACCCACAAACATCAAAATGAATCAGTTCTAAAACATGCTTTCTTCTATGAGGATGGGAGCTTTGAAATGAAACTCTATTTTGTTTATCGGTTAAGCAATGAATGCAAGTTTTAAAATGCATACCTTTCATGCCAGTTAACAGATTTTTCTTGGCAAGAATTTGTATTCCCTTCTCGCTCATGTGATCCAATCGTCTATGCCACAATTCTGTAGAGAATTCCTTCTCCATGATGTTCATTTCACCTTTGCAAACACGTCCTTGTGTACGGTAGAGAGTGCAACACCTGTTGCCTTTTTCTAACAGTAGAGACCCCTTGGATAGTCTCC